ATCAACTGGCTGAAATGCTATTTTTAGAATTATTTTTGGAGCATTTAGTCATATGTGGGAAGAGAATATAAATATAAGTGACTCTCCTGAAAGGCAGCACTTATTCCTGCTCAAGAGGTCGGATGTGATCTCCTCTACACAGTCTATTCTGTCTACCTTACAATTATTATTGAGACAAAAAGAACATATTCACTTTTTTGTGTATATTTCTTTGGGCAACAAATCCAGAGAGATGGGAAATTTAGGACAATATGAAGTCCAGTACTGGCTTCACAAAGCTGCTCTCAGGTAATCAACTACAATTGAAATTAAATCTTATATTTAAAATTGGGAGACACCCCCCCCCAATAATTGTTTTCTATGTAGAAACCATCTCTATTTAGGATCCATTATCAAGTATGAGAACCAGCATGGCAAAGTAGTTAAGATATTAGATTCTCATTCTCTCTCAGGCATGGAAACTGGCTGGGTGATTGACCAAGTTTCTCAGCCCTAAACTGAACCAACATGATAGATTTGAATCCATAATCTTCAGTGAAGAGATCTTCAGTGTGTAGTGGTTTGGTTCAAGTTAATAATGATAACAAATGATGGACATAAGACTTCTAGGTATCAAAATCAAATGGAGAGAAATCTACCAAATCATCATGATTATAAAAAAAAAAAGATTTTGGGGCTAGGGATTTTTTAAAAATACGAACTCAGAAGAACTACAGCTATGGTAAAACGATACAAGGATCAAAGGAAAAATCAGGGCAGTACAAGATAGAACAGAATTGTGCAAGTGTCACAAAAGAAAAAATGTGTCAATTACTATAGTCCTGAAGCACGCATGACTTATGCATGAACTATTTTTGTGGTTACCAAATAGTTTAATATAGGCTATTGCATTCACTAGTGAGAACTTCTTATGCTTTGAAAGTTTGTGTTGTTTAAAAAGCACCACACCCTCAGGATGGCATATAAGTTGAGAACAGAATTGTAATGTTCAGCTCTCCTGTGAACATGCAAAGCAAGAAGAAATAAGGTTTGATTGTGGGATTTCAGCTATGTGTCAACGCTGCTAACATCAGATGTTCTTGCTTTGACAATATATGAAGATGCAGCCATTTTCTCTTTAACCTGTTACTTTTAGAGTTAGAATTAGATGATGCTGGGAGGGAGGGGGAAGAATGTGTATGGGGATTAGTTAGACATAACAACATCGCAGTAGAGTATTCTTCAAGGTTGTTTGAAATAAGAGATAAGAAATGACAGTTTTGGAACTGGAGGGAAGGTTTGCATTTCAAACTAATTGGAGAATGTGATTTATGACTGTTAATTGGAGGAGGGAATTGTGCTTTGATGTGTTTAGGGGAGGGGAATTCAGATTTTGGCTTCCACCATGTACATGCCGATGCCATGTTATTTGAATAAAGATTCTTTAAGGTAAACAATGCCTCGAAATTCTTTGAAGAGTAACATCTGTCGGAACCATGACACTATGAATATGTAAGTGCAGATAATAAAAAATGTACAAAAGTAGTTTGGGCAGTAATAGAATTGCTACGGGTTTTTGGGAGCTGTGATTAGACTCATATACACACTCAAGATTTTCTTTTAAAATATAGTTGCCATTATTTCCAATACAGATTTCTATTTTGGATCTTATGCAGCTATATAAGACTGGCTGAGCTTTTCTCAAAAATGTGCCTAACTAGAATTTGTTTTACCACACAATTATTAATGTATTTTAAATAGGCAACAAGCCATAACAAAGGGTGCAGTCTGAGCCACTTCATGAAGCACTTGCTTGATATCAGGTGACATCTACAGTCATGTGAAAAAGAAAGTACACCCTCTTTGAATTCTGTGGCTTTACGTATCAGGACATAGTAAAAATCATCTGGTCCTTAGTGGTTCTTAAAAATAGGAAAATACAACCTCGGAGGAACAACAACACATGACATATCACACCATGTCATCATTTATTTTACAAAAAGAAAGCCAAAATGGAGAAGCAATGTGTGAAAAACTAAGTTCACCTTATGATTCCATAGCTTGTAGAACCATCTTTAGCAGCAATAACTTGAAGTGATTGTTTTCTGTTTGACTTTATCAATCTTCTCTTAGATCGTTGTGGAGGAATTTCAGCCCACTGTTCCTTACAACAGGGCTTTTCAAACTTTTTACCGATTGTACCACTTTTAGGATATGGCGATATTTGAGTACCACCTAGCAAGGTGTCAAAAACTTGACCCCCCAAAAAAAAACTGTTCAAAGTTGCAATTGCACTGAAATGACTTATGACCATTTTTCACACTTATGACCATTGCAGCATGCCCAGGGTCATGTGATTTATATTTGGATGCTTGGCAACTGATTCATATTTATAATGGTCACAGTGTCCCAGGGTCATGTGATCCCCTTCTGCAACCTTTTGACAAGCAAAGTCAATGGCAGAGCTGCTGGTGGCCAAATGCTAAGGCGGGACTTCCTTTCCTCCCTTCCCTGCTTCCCTTTTTCTCATTCCCATCTCCTTCTGAAGGAAGAATTTGAACCCCCCCCCCCACCCATATTTTCCCTCTTCCATATATTGATCAAACAAAGAAAGGCCTCCAGAGACAGAAAAGACAAGCTACTGAGTGCACTAGCTTAAAAAGGCACATTCCCCTTTAAGAATTAGCTACTGGCTAGAAAGGAAAGTAAGGAGCGCAGCTGGCACTTAAGGAAGAAAAAAAAAGTAAGTACTGGCTGCCAGCTAAGGCAACCTCCCCAAATGGCTCCATTCATAAGTAAAGGAATGCTACAGGCAAAATCCATTCAGGAGAAAAATACTTCAAAATCCCTTGCAGCAAAACTTACAGCTAACAACAGCAGAGCAATAGAAGCTAACATGAGCCATCAGCCAAATAGAAATTGCCAGACACTCCTTAAGAACACAAAGCCCTCATTGCACAAATCCCAGAACTTCAAAGTCACAAAAGTACATAAGAATCCTTCCACTCTCCATCTCCTTCCCTCCTCCGTGCCTCACCTCCAGCCATTGCTGCCTTTTTTCATTCCTCTTGGAGGGTGACCCCTCCCCCACTGCATTTCTTGCTTATTTGCTGCTGCCAGCACAGGTGGCTACCACAGCAGTTTAGATCGGCTCATGGCCAGCCTGCTTGATCTCCCCCCACCCTCCCCCTTCCGTGCAGCTGACTCTGCCTCCTCCCAAGGCTGTTCCTTTTTTTCTCTCTCCCTCTACTGCTCAAACTATCTTCTTTTATAGGCTCTCCTGTCTCTACCCCCCTCCTCCTTTCTCATGGGGGAGGGTAAGCCAGAAGTGAGCCTGGGACCTTTGCAGCTCCAGAGGACTCTCTCATTGTAAGTCCTTGCCTGTGCTGGCTCTTTCCCTCCCCCACTACACTTGGCTAGGCAGGGCTGTGTACCACCTGCCACTCATTAATGTACCACAAGTTGTATGCATACCACCGATTGAAAAGCCCTGCTTTACAATATTGCTTCAGTTCATTGAGGTTTGTGGACATTTGTGTATGCACAGCTCTCTTGAGGTCGTGCCACACCATTTCAGTAGGGTTGAGGTCTGAACTTTGGGTCATTACAACACCTTGACTCTTTTCTTTTTTCAGCCATTCTGTTGTAAATTTGCTGGTGTGCCTGGGATCATTTCTGAGCATTACATGATCTGATCTTGGGGTGACTTTGTTGGGACATCCACTCCTAGGAAGATTGGCAACTGTCTTGAATGTTTTCCACTAATGATCTTTCTCACTATAGAATGATGAACTTTAAATTGTTTGGAAATGGCCTTATAACCTTCCCAGATTATTGGCAGCAACAATTGCTTCTCTAAGATCATTGCTTTACTCTTCGGCATTGTGTTAACACACATACCTGAATGCTAGAGACAAGCAAATTCCTAAAACTGGCTTTTATAGAGATAGTCACACTTACTGATGATCAATTGGTCAAGAGACTTGACTGCTACTTAGTCTCTTCATACCTATGGAAGCACTACCAATGTACTTAGTTTTCCGCATGGCTTCTCCATTTTGGCTTTCTTTTTGTAAAATAAAAGATATGATATAATATGACATGTGTTGTTCACTTGAGGTTGAATTTACCTACTTATAAAAACTGCTAAGGACCAGATTATTTTTTATTATGTCCTGATACATAAAACCATAGAACTCAAAGAGGGTGTTCTTTCTTTTTCACATGACTATATCTTATGGAATCTGTTTTCTGACATCATCCTGAAAGACTGACAATAAGTGCTAATAACCATACCATCAATGACATGGAAAGGGACAACTGCCTGCATTTAGGCTTGTGTTCTGGCAACCATTGCAACATTCCTTATCTTTCTGTTAGAGGCTGACTCAGTTTTGGCATTCCTTTGCCATGTTATTTTATGTTCTTTTGATGATAATTAGCTATATGCTTATATATGTGCAATATATATATTTGTAATTAATGTCCAAAAACCTAGTACTAAGTAAATATTGTTGCTATTTTATAGAATTTAACAGAATCACACAAGGCAACTAATGACACTGAGTGAGCTTTGCTATAGTAATGTTTCTATGTTACTTGTAATCATTAAACAATAAAAATAGACAATATTCAGGCACATATTGTTGTGGTATTCTGATCAGCTGCTGTAGAAAATATGTGTTTCTGGGTGTGTACTTGAGTGAGAGTGTGTCTAACTTCATTGCCTTTGTAGAGGAAGGGAAAGAAGTCTTTAGCAGCTGATACACTTACAGGTTTTCCTTTTCTTATATTTTATTTTTACAAGTGATAGTGTGTTTGTTTCCTTTCCAATTCTGTAAAAATGATCCTTGATTCAGGTTGCAAATAAAACCTCTGCAAATAAAGAACCACAGAAATTCAGCTTATTATCCATGACATGTGCAAGACACATTAAAATATTTTTAATTAGCTAAATGAGAATTACTGTATATATTTATTTAGGAAAAAATCCTGCAGCATATATATTCATTGTATGAGGAAAAGCTATTTCCTGTTTATTTCCTTTATCAAGTACTTGAAGCTGAATGGTGAAAAGCATAATCAATGGAAAACCATAAAGAAAAAAACTGCATTCATTCACTTTGTGTTGCATTAACAGTAAGTTTCTCTGACCTCCTGAAAAATAAAATAAAAAACAGTTTAGCAGAGCATTTAAAACATACCAACCAATATGAATAATTAAAAAATACTCCTATCAGTTTGAAGTAGAATATACTTTGTAATCCCTAACGTATTGGCTGGTTTTAATCAAAAGGTACTACAGCCAGTGCTGTTTTTCCCACTTGCTTTGAGACAATGGCCTTCTCCAAATAATAGTAATTAGAGCAATAGACATATTATTAATAGCACTGCATTGATCAGATTGCACAATCCTGATTATGTCAAATTGATGGAAACAAAATGGGCATATATTTTTTTATTGTTTTTCCATTTTTAATTATGAGCTCACCAAATCTGGAGTTCAGTAGCCTCTAAAGCTAATAAATAAATAAAAATACTGGATACAGTATAGATATGGCAATTATCCTTTTCCTACTCATCTCTCCTGTTCTTACTTTCTTCCACATACATTACAGATATTTATTATTTACTTTCTATCACTATCTGAAGAATCCTGACTGCAATTTTACATATTTCAGCATCTATAGATATCTTGATAAACCATGTAGTAGTCCATAATGCCATTTTCAAAAGCCATTTCTGAATATTTTGCCCCGCACATGTATATATTATTCTGATTCTCCATATTTTGATTGTGCTAAATATTAAGATTATGCTTTCAGTGCTCATATTCTATTGCCTATGCAATGCATTCAAATACTGTACATCAGAGCTACAGGGTACCTTTAATTAACATCACCAGTGATATAATTGATAAACTGTCTTACTCTCAAAATAAGAACCAGGATGAGAAGCTGCTTTTTAAAAAATTTTCCCAGCATGTTTGGTGCTTGCTTACCCAGAATCAGACATTATCAGAAAAACTGATTATGTACAGTACTATGAAAAAGTCTTAGGCCACCTTTAGATTTGTTGTTGTAGCAATTGTATAATGACCATATATAATTATGTCTTAGTCTCATTATTAAAGTATAGCCAGAAAATATAGGAAATTCGTGTGCAGAATCCAAAATAGAGAAAAGCAGAAAAAACAGCTTCCACGGGCCAAAGTGACAAGTATGTGGTGTGACCTCCCCTTGCACCTGAGCAACAGCAGACACCTGGCCCCCATAAACCTAAATGGAATGGAACCCTAGGTACTGCCATTGCTAACACCTGTATGTGTCTTATTATGTCATGCTAAAATGACTGCTGTGCAAAAAGGTCTATTACATCAGGTTTGTGCAACATATGCTTCAGGATTACATACACTATAGACACATGTTGTATGAGTGTAATTCATTGGAAGCTTGCTAATAAGGCCCAATTTCTATCAAATCATTTCAGTCAAAATGCCAAGGAACACAGAATTTGACAGACAAAAAAATCATACTTTTGCATCAGCAAGACTATTCTCAAAGGGAAATCAACAAACAAATTGGATATTCAAGATGTGGTATTCAAGACCAAAACATAATTATGGTCATTAAAACATTGCTAGAGCAACAAAGCAGGTGGTGGCCTAAGACTTTTGCACAGTACTATATATAAAATGTAAGTTACATGATTGTATTTCAGCAGTGATATCTATTTATTATTATTATTGGGCAAATCATTTTACAATATCTTACAAATACTTTCTCCATCATAACAAGTAGCAGAAATTATATGTCCAGAAATACAGAAGACAGGGACTCAGACAATAGTATTTCAAAGGCAAATTAAGTCACAGGATAAACTGAAGGCCCTTTGTATTAGCAGCCAGTGAACAACCAGAGATGGGAAGGTGGCTAAAGGCTAGAAACATTAGAAGTTTATGGTAAGAGTTGTCCTGGGCTCTAAATGTTTGTGTTTGTGGATGATTTCTGTTAGTTTTCTCCTTATCCAAACTTATCTTTTGTAGTTGAGACCAGCTACAATTATTCCATAAGCTAGAATCCTTGCATATTATCTTATACAATGTTCTGATATGCTTTATTAGTAATAGCCACATTTAGCAATATCTTTTTTTTGCATGGAGCTGAAGAGTGAAAAGCTAAAAAGTATTCATTCCCTGTTGAAATGTTTGCATATGTTTGCTATTAATTTCTACCAAATAATTATGTGAGAGAAAAAATAATACCAAAATTAAAAATATTTGTAGTGGATAATATTCAGTGGCAAAGATATGCAAAATTCATAAAAAACTAAAAATGGATAATGCATTTTTCATAGAACTGTACATTGCTAGCAATGCAAGTGACGTCTAATGGACTAAAGGCACTTTGGTATAATTTTGATTACTCTATGTGTGCTTATGTGAAGCTGAATGCTAAGGTGTTTCCTGGTGTCTTAGTGTGAGCATTGAGTACATATACCAGCATAATCCCTGATCATTCAACAGTCTGAAATTTCTGTGAAAACTGTGGTATGTCTTCTCTTTTATTTGTTTTTGTTTTTTCACCACAAAGTGAAAACAAAACAATCTGATAATTTCCCAGGCTGAATACATGAGGCAGTATGGAAAGAAGTGGTTCCTCAAGATCTAAAGAACTACAGTTCCCAGCATCCCTGACCATGAACATACAGGCAGTAGTTATTAAAAAGTGTAGATCAACAACATCTGGGTGGCAAGGGTTTTCTAATAATAGAAAACTAATACTAAAATAATAACAACATATGCACTCCCCAAACATTTAATTTAACCAACTGATTATAGGTCTGCTTTGCCTGTACCTTTAAATATACTATATAATTTCACACAAAATGAATAGTTTGGTGACTACTGCATTTCAAAATACTTTATTAGAGGATCTACACATGTTCTGCAGAGTTATCCATGGCATTTTTTAAATGAAAAGTTAATTGAAAAGCAAATGTCTTACGCCAGACATTCTATATCTTCCCAAGATGCATGCTGTTACATGGAAAACTTGGCTTTTTTCATTCATTTTGCATACTTCCTGAATTTCCTGTGCTCTAAATATTGCATTGAAAAATAAATTAGAAGACTTTTATTAGAAGCTCACTAAAATCATCTTATTTCTTTATTAATCAAATTGTATAAAAACAACTCTGGGCAGTCACACCAATCTTCCCCAGAACCCCAGTGTTTTACATTGCAATCAAATTTCCAAAAGGTTTTAGCAGCAGTTTTTACCATTCCTTATGCAGCTTGAAATCATACTTTTTATGTACTTATAAACAACAGACCAAAGAATGCAAATGTTACTCATAACCCTATTCAAACAATAACTGACCAAAGGAATTCAAAGAAGTTCTGGGAACATGGGAGTGAAAGAGCAAGATTTTCTGGTACTTCCAAGATTCTGCTACCATAAAAGTAATATGGGCATCAAGTCTCAGAAAGGAATCAGGAGAACTTTCTTTGTCAGTTTAGGTATTTAACCAAGGAAGCCAATGTAAAGTCCCAATGCAAAGTGAATGAAGGGCTTTGATGCCCATAGGATCTATATACCATTCTGACCTAGCAGCCCACCAGCAATGTGAATATCCCCAGCAGGAAATTCATGTCACAACATTTTCATCAACCATATCTTGCTCATTTCAAATGGATATCACATACCTTCCCATACTATCCTATCCTCCCATGGATAACTATCCAAAGGGATTGTGGTTATCCTGGACTTTTAATTTTTGGCTGAGTTGTTGTCCTTACTGCATATACAAAGCCAAGGAAGTTTCAATCAATTTTAATAGACTAAGCACATTGTTACATGGCTATAAGTTCACGGCAGAGAAATTTAACTTACTTCTTGTTTTTCACGATTCTGATCCATATTTAGTAAAGATGGTATTTTGGATAGTTCAGGTTTCTTTGACTCCCTTTTCAGCACTCTTACCTGTTTAACTTTTACAAGAAAAAATAACTATTTCTAGAATTGCACTTTTTTTTTCTTTCTCTTTCTTTTTTTTAAAAAAAATTAAACTGTGGGTTTGGCTGTTTAGATCACTTTGTTGTGTTAGAAATGGCTGGTATATATATAAAAGTAAAAAGTTGAGGCTGTAATGACACTATCTTATTTTAGTGTGCTAAAAAGAGTTAGAAGTCAATGATTTTCTTTTCCCCCCTTTCCCCTACTCTTCTTCCTCTTCCCCGTTTCCTTCTCCATTTTTCCAATATTTCACCTTTTGTATTTACATCTTCATAAGCTTAATAAAATTATTAATATAGAATTGCACATTTTCTGTTCTGATATTCCAGTATTCCAAACAACCCAATAGCTAACAAAATCCTTGAATACTGCAAAAAGAAACCATTGCAAAAGAAAAAATGATCTGTTTATCAAAGCTTTCATATTTTAATTCAGCTTTCAGTACATGTATATCTGAGGACGTCAGCCTGTATGGTTAAAAATAAATGAAAGCGGCCATTTTCAGGAGCATAATACCCGTCAGAAAAGCAACATTAATCACTGCCTCTGGTCCAAATTTGAAGCTCCTCAGGCTGCTTAGCGTTAAAAATAGCCCAAGATCTGTTTTTAAAAAAGGAACTGAAAACAGAAATCACTGCAGTTTTCATGGCCGCTATTTATTAGTGAAATGAATTCTGGGGAATGTCAGTTGAGACCATGAATACTATGAATACATTTTTTTGCTAGTCATGCCACTAGTCTCTTCAGAACAGGTCTGAAGTTGAATGCAGCAACAGGTATCACATCCTTATGTAATGAACACGTATGACATTACATACTGTACTTACAAACATACACACACACACACACATTGTATTCTACTTATTTGGATGTTTGTTTGGTTATCTGCTGCTTATAGACATGTACTGCCTCAATGAACACAGTAGTATGTTGTGACTTCTATTGCCGGGTTGAGTTTCAAATTTGCTCTGATGGGGAAATGGCATGGCTAGCGAAATATCAGAATATATTTGATATCTCACACTGCATTATCCAAAAGATATTTCACCAATAAAAAAGTGATTCTTCTATTCCCCTACCTCATGTATTGCAAGCCTTTTAAGAAAATGAGGGGATTGCAAAGTAGTTTCTCGGTTGGTTATGGAAATTCTCCAGTTCAAAGAAAATAAAGCAATACATGTTCCTGACCATCTTGAGGCCAAATTATTCAGGACTTTATCTTTTAGTATTTTATTTATGTTTAAAATATTCTAATGAAACTATTTTTTTACTGGAGAAAGCAGCACTAGATAGAGGGGCTTGTTTTAAAAAAATCAAACAAAAACAAGTGCAGCCAATGACATTTACACAATACAGGTAATCCTCAAATTACTACCACAATCAAGCCCAAAATTTCTATTGCTAAGCAAGCTTGTTAAGTGAGTTTTGCCTATTTCATGTCCTTTTTTGCCAGTTGTTAAGTTAGTAACGTGGTTGTTAAGTGAATCTGTCTTCCCCATTGACTTTGCTTGTCAGAAGGTCGCAAAAGGTGATCAGGTGACACTGGGACACCTGCAATCATCAATAAATATGAGCCAGCTGCCCAACGTCATGTGTCCATGAGAATGTTGCAGTGGTTGTTAAGTGTGAAAAATGATCATAAGTTGCTTTTTTCAGTATTGTAACTTCAAACAGTCACCAAACAAATGGCTGTAAGTCAAGGATCACAACTAATGCGTCTAATGGAAAAATATAAAGGCTAAAGACCCCATTTGAATTGGGGGCAAATATGCTTGCTGGCTGCCACTTAAATCCAGCAATAACTGTACTCCAATAATAGCGGAATTTCTTCCCATTTCCAGTAATTTCTAGATTTGGTTTGCATGCAGTCATCCATTTACAAAGGAAAGATGCTGCTCCAGTTGTGTACTAAAAGAAAAGATTATTTGCTGTCAATAAACATTTTGGGAACTATTTTTGGGAACTATCTTATCTACTCTACTTTGTATTTAAAGTCCATAATTACGTATACACATTTCAGATGTGAAGCCCATAATTATACACACAAAGACCAAACATATTCACAAAGATCTGTAGAATATAACAAACATACTTTCCATTGCTTTCAGTTCTTTCTGTTGCCCTGTTGTAGTTAATTCTGGCAAGTGAATTTCTCTTTTCTCACATCTTGAAATGTTGCGTTTCTTCCTGTTTATGTTCACCATTTGATCAATTTGAGCAGCTCTTTCATACAGGGAAACCTTTTCCATTTGGTTCTAAACATGGAATAATTATGCATCCAAGGAAACATCTATACCATGATTATAATATAATTTATATCAAATCAGCAACACAACACTTCATGGACAATTGTACATACAACAGCACCAAATGCCGCCCAAAACCATATTTTAAAAAAATAAAAAATAATTTTTAAAAATTTAAAAATTAATTATCAGAAATATAAGAACTTGGTCCTAATCATGCAAAATAACTATTCTTGGGAGATATCTATAAGAATTCTTTGGATTTGAACTACTTTATTTAATTTTTAAAATTATTTTTATTCATTTCTGCCTTTCATGTAACATACTAAAAATCTTTCCTTTATTTAGGAAAAGCTTTTATCACCAAATAAATTTATACCATTATAATAGGAAATAGAAGTTTTAAAAAATATCAACTTTGCTGTCAAGCAAAATCAAGCTTCTAATAGTGAGTGTCACACAAAGTGCACTAACCAAATAGGTAGTAAGACAATAGGGGAACTCAGGCACCACACAGGTTACATAGAAAGTAAACACAGGGTCAGTCATAAAGGACTCAAATGTCTATACACCAATGCACAGAGTATGAATAGCAAACAGGGTGAACTAGAAATTCAGGTTAATGAGGGCAGATATGATATTGTTGCCATTACGGAAACATGGTAGGATGAAACCCACAAATGGAACACACAGCTAGAGGGATTTAAATTATTTAAAAGAAACAGACCAAATAAAAGAGGAGGCAGAGTTGCTCTCTATATATGTAAGAAACAACTACATCTCTACAGAAATAGAGCACAACAATGATGAAAACTGTCTTGAATGCATTTGGGTCAATATAAAAGGGGAAAAAAACGACATTACCATAGGTGTATACTACAGGCCACCCAACCAAAGAGAGGAAATAGATGATTTTTTTGCTAGTCAGCTAACTAAAGTATGTAGGAAGCACATCACAATAGAAATGGGGGACTTTAACTACCATGACATCAACTGGGAGACAAACTCTGCACCAAGTGGAAGATCAAACAGATTCCTTGCAAACCTAGCAGACAATTTTGTCTCCCAAAAAGTAGAGAAGGGAACTAGGGGATTAGCCATTTTGGATATAATTCTCACTAACAGAGATGAAATGATAGAAGGTGTTGAAGCCACAGGAACCTTGGGAGAAAGTGATCGTGCAATATTGGAATTCAACATTATGGAAGTGTAAGCAATAGAACACAGTCAAACTAGAGTCTTGGACTTTAAGAGAGCTAATTTCAATAAACTTAGAGAGGGCTTGGGAAGGATTCCATGGATGAGAATCCTCAAGGGGAAAACAACTCAAGAAGCTTGGGAAATTTTGAAAACTGAGATAATAAAAGCCCAGTCCAGCACAATACCAACAAAGAGGAAAAATAACAGTTCTCAAAAGAAACCAGCATGGCTGCATAAAGAACTCTCTGATAAATTGAAAGATAAAAAGGACAACTATAGAAAGTGGAAAGAGGGGCACATAACTAAGTCAGAATATCAACAAATAGCCCGAGCCTGCAAGTGAGGAAAGTTAAGGCTCAAAATGAACTAAGGCTTGCGACCAAAGTCAAAAATAACAAAAAAAGCTTCTTTCAACATGTAAAAAACAAGAAGAAAGTGAAGGAAATAATTGGTCCATTAGTGGGGGAAAGTGGCAAGAAAGTGAGGAGCAACAGGGAGAAAGCAGAACTATTTACCTCGTTTTTTGCATCAATATAAAAGGGGAAAAAACAGACCAACCTACCAAAAATAGTGCCATAAAAAACAGAACAGAAATGCAAGTTAAAATAGGCAAGAAAATGGTAAGTGAGCACCTGTCCAGCCTAGACGAGTTCAAATCACCAGGATCAGGTGGATTACACCCCAGGGTTCTCAAGGAACTGGCAGATGTGATCTCAGAACCATTGAACTATATTTTTCAAAGATCCTAGAGCACTGGGGAACTACCGGAGGACTGGAAAAAAGCTGATGTAGTTCCCATCTTCAAAAAAGGAAAAAAAAATGGACCCAAGAAATTACAGACCTATCAGCCTGACCTCAATACCTGGGAAGATAATCAGACAATGAATCAGCGAACATCTAGAGGCAAACAAAGTCATTACTAAAAGCCAACATGGGTTTGTCAAAAACAGATCATGCCAGACAAATCTTATTGCATTCTTTAACCAAGTGACAAAATTAGTGGATCAGAGCAATGATGTGGATATAATTTATTTGGACTTCAGTAAGACATTTAATAAAGTAGATCACAACCTACTACTTGATAAGATAGAAAAATGTGGGTTATACAGCATCACCACCAGATGGATCCGTAGCTGGCTGACGGCCGTACTCAGCATGTGGTCCTCAATGGAACCGCATCTACATGGAGGGAAGTGTCTGGTGGGGTGCCCCAGGGCTCTGTTCTGGGCCCAGTGCTCTTCAACATCTTCATTAACGATTTGGACGAGGGGATAGATGGGGAAATCATCAAATTTGCAGATGACACCAAGCCGGCAGGAATAGCCAACACTCCAGAAAACAGGCTTAAGATACAGGAGGATCTGGACAGACTTGAATACTGGGCGCTATCTAACAAAATAAAATTCAATGGTGAAAAAAGTAAGGTTCTACATTTAGGCAAGAAAAACCAAATGTACAGGTATAGTATAGGGGATACCTTGCTCAATAGTAGTAACTGTGAGAGGGACCTCGGAGTCCTAGTGCACAATCACTTAAATATGAGCCAGCAGTGTGCTGCAGCTGCCAAAAAAAGGCCAACACAGTGCTGGGCAGCATTAACAGAGGGATAGAATCAAGATCACATGAAGTATTAATACCACTTTACAATGCCTTGGTAAGGCCACACTTGGAATACTGCATCCAGTTTTGGTCACCACGATATAAAAAAGATGTTGAGACTCTAGAAAGAGTACAGAGAAGAGCAACAAAGATGATTAGGGGACTGGAGGCTAAAGCATATAAGGAACAGCTGCTGGAATTGGGTATGTCTAGTTTAATGAAGAGAAGAACGAGGGGGGACATGATAGCAGTATTCCAATATCTCAGGAGCTGCCACAAAGAAGAGGGAGTCAAGCTATTTTCCAAGGCGCCTGAAGGCAGGACAAGAAGCAACGGATGGAAACTAATCAAGGAGAGAAGCAACCTAGAACTAAGGAGAAACTTCCTGACAGTTAGAACAATTAACCAGTGGAACAACCTGCCTCCAGAAGTGGTGAATGCCCCAACACTGGAAGTTTTTTTTTTTTGAAAGTTTTTTGAAAATTTACAGAAGAAAAAAAAATTCCCCTCCCCAAACCCTCCCCAACCCTCCCCCAACCTTCCCAGAGCTGAATACAGGCTTAATTAAAACTTAAAAGAAAAAATTAACACTGGAAGTTTTTAAGAAGAGACTAGACAGCCATTTGTCTGAAATGGTATAGGTTTCCTACCTGATCAGGGGATTGGACTAGATGACCTCCAAGGTCCCTTCCAACTTTATTATTATTGTTGTTGTTATTGTTATTATTATTATAAAAATTATTGGGCAAGCTAAATTAATATATTTTGTACTTTAGTAAGTTCAGCGTTATTTCTCTGAAAAATCCATCTACAGTTCTTGGTTTACATTGTCTACTATGATTTGTTTATTTCATCTGCTAAAGAATAAGAAGCAGCAACTTCCTTTGAAAAAAAATGGGAAACCCAAGGTAATGTTTGAAGTGTGTTTCCAAGCATATTCCTCTAAAATAATTATTTTAACTGGCACACTGAAAGCTATGAAAACTCCATTCTGGGTCAGAATTCGACAGCCAATCTTCCCATAAAAATTTGCTGCTTTCAGGTATCACATTCAAATATGCCTTCACTGTAACCAAAACCACCAAAAAAGCCAAAGAGATGCATAGTTCAGTGACAGTTGTTTATTTTCCAATTCAGATCATAGGAACAAGCTATGGTCCAGAGGCCAGGAATGTGTAAACATCAACCTGTCCATTTAATATTGAGTTGTTTACTCATTTTTAGAAGCCTGAAAAAATGCAAATATTTTGCAAAGGAATATAATTGAATTGGAATAATTAACTTCAGGCTATACTAGAAAAACAACAGAACTTTCTGAATGCTTTAATACTAGGGATGGACACAACTAGACTTCGTTTAGCAACCTCAATTGGAACCAGTAACTCAGATGTTAAGCAAAGCAGTCCTTAAGTCAGATATTTCAAACTCAATTTCATTGAGGGCCGCATCAGCACTGCGGTTGCCCTCAGGGGGCCGGGTGGGTGTGGCCAGGGTGGGTGCAGCCTACTGGATGGGCGTGAATGAAGTTGGGTGTGGCCTACTGGGTGGGTGTGGCCAGCTCTACATCGTTCATGTCAAGGGTGCCTGTGAGGGCGTGGGCAGGCGTGGGATAGATCTAAGGGTCTCTGGCAGAAGGGGGTGGGTCCAGGGCAAGTGCCAAGGCATGGTCCACTGGAGGAGCCTCACTGTTCCTCTCAAGCCATGCGGGGGGGGGGCTTATGGAGCTAAGACTGAATGCATTTCAGCATAGATGGCCACCACAAAATTGTACATTGGCTCCCGGCTGGCCTGGGCCAGGGCCAAGGCAGAGGGGGCCATTCCCTCACTGTTTCCAGGATGGCTTCGCGGGCCATATGAAACCACTTCGTGGGCCGCATCCGACCCCCGGGCCTTGTGTTTGACATATCTGCCCTAAGTGAAAAAGCATATGACCGCAACAGTCATTTGACTCATCATTTGATTTCAGCTTTCTTTTGCTTTACTGCCAGAAAGTTATGATTCCAAAAGCCTGGTGAATCCAAACATTGAGGAAAGTTTCCAGAATTCAACTTACAAGGGAACTGGGTAAAACAAAAAATCTTATGGCCGTTTTCTTCCCTACTCTTCCCTCCTCGTACTTGGATAATTAGCAAGAATTAATGTCTGTATTTGCATTAATTGGATAGGAAGGGATTCCAAGAGAGGAACTTGCCATACAATGGGGAATACACATCTAAAGGAATGTGCTGGCACTTTTTCTATCAGACTCATGGTTTAGGGGCAAAAAAAATCTTCAGTGTGAAATTAATTAGGGTCTGGTCAGTGTCAGGCAGCAGTGCAAGTCTACTGGAGGAGTTCCAATCAACTAATTAAGGTTGCAGAGCTGAGCTGGTTAACTTGAAGTTAGCACCTTCTCGAGAAGCACTGCATTATGGAGAAAAGCTTCTAGAGGAAGAGATAGCTTGCTTAAATAATCCCTCTGCCCTGCCAGGGGGCAAAAAAATAAAAAGAAAAACCAGGTGTAGGACGATGTAATATTGTACTATTTGACTGTAATGGCCAATATGACTGAGAAACAATGTGAAAGTCCTATATAAGCTGCCACTGGCTGCATAGTTACTTTTTTCTCGCTGTTGTAACTGCAAACAGTCATAGTCTGAGGCAATCACTAAACAAGGACTACCTGTACAGCAAATCAAAACTCTAGAACAGTCAGCCGCATGATATTGACAGATTTGCTTAAGTTCAGCTGAAATCAGTAGTGATATTATTCCCTCACTGATTTAAAAGGGCATAAGAAGTTGTTTTTTTTAATGTACCTAAATATGAGACCATCAAACAGGAATGCTGATTTTAAGATACACAGCCTGCAAAGAAGGTAAGCTCCAAAGAGGAGATATCCTGATTTGTTCGTTTTTTTTATCCCGCCTTTATTACCTTATAAATAACTCAAGGTAGTGAGTGGCCTAAAGCCACCCAGCTGGTTTTTCATGGAACCTCCTTCCCATTTGACCTGTAGCTGGGCTATAAACCATGTTTAAACAAAAGTTTTATTTCTGTCACATCTAGTGTATAGCTTAAAACTAATTGAAAAATAATTTGATTTACAATTGCATCAGTAGTGCATGAATTACATTAGTTACAACATATATTTTTTTATAATTACTTGAGTCATAACTCCATCTTCCTGACGATTGTTTGAACCTATTTGTCCTACTGATGGCCAAGGACTTCGCCGTTTCTTTGCTTTTTCTGGAAGTCTGATAAAGAAAGAATATATTTATTCTTAAACAATGATTGAGCAGTTGAGAGTGTAATGTTTTCCTCCAAAATGAAACTAAAAAACGTGTTTCATATATTATATCATTTTAAAAAAATTACCCTGGAAAGATCATTTTTAAATAAGGAGTCAGACACGTTGTATTTAAATCTATGAATTAAAAAACCTCTACTCTTTAAAGCTTTGAACAAGCCTTGAGGGTTGAACGAGATGTTTTCCTTCTATTAACAGAAATGATTGGCTGGTGGGAATGTAAGATATTCCCAGGATCTCATTATATGATGTTTATGATTGTGATATTATAATTATATTTTATATAGTATTAATCCAAGTTATGGAGAGGAAAGAAAACATTGCTTCAGGTTGGTTACAATTGGAGGAGCCTATAGACCAGGCATGTCAAACTGTCAGCCCACGGGCCGGATGCATCATACTGAAAACGCGCCCACCCCATTGCCGGCAATGGGGAAAAAGTCACAATACGTCGCATGTCACGTGACATCGCAAGTTTGACATGCCTGCTATAAACACTCTAAAATAAATGAACAAAAATTAATACTCGTTCCTATCCTCCATCCAACTCTCCCCTACATGTGGCCAGCATTCAGTTTTCTAATACATACCTTGAATTAGGACACAGGAAATGTGAACTGAAATTCGCTGTAAGATTTGCACAGTTTGGATGTATCCGTGGCATTGTTGTACAGGGTGTCTGTGGAGCTTCATCCCTTATCCCACCAGCATCAATGCCAACTGTTATCAAACTGGTACCATCACCAACTGGGGGTTTGCTCTCATGTGGTAGGTTGAGAGCATTCTGAGACAAAGTCATCCACTGTGAAACAGCATCTTCTTGTTCATTTCTTTTAAACTCTGAAATTTCAGATTTTCCCCCTTTCACTTTAATACCTTTGATCTTCATCTCCTTTGATTTTTTGTCTTTTTCCATTTCCTAGAACAGGTAATACATTCAAACTTTGCACAATTACATCTACTCACACTATAAAATGTGAAACATGTTTATGAAATTCACTGAGAAATGAAACTGTCCAAGTCATTTCAGAATATGAATTCACAATTTAAATTAGTTATTTTGGTAGATAACAACATAACGAAGGCCCTGCTTTGTAATTTTCTGATCCAGAATACTAACTCAACAATTATGGAACACTAACTTTGATACAGTAGATGAAATATCACCTTGCCAATAGAGTGCCTGAACTTTTATTCTCTGGATAATATGCTGGGATTTTTAATTGTGGAATTGTCTTACTAAAATAATCTTTATAGGGATACTGCATTAAACAAAGTCTTTTAACAATTTAAAGCTATTACATTTGTTACATCAAAATATTGTTGCACAAAATCCATCTCATCGGGATTGTAATAAATTTGTTGGGTTTTTTAGGTGTGGCAAAACTCTTTGTTGCTTTTGCTGAAAAAGGAATGCCAGTATTCTTCTGCAGCTTGCTACACCTAAACACAATATTTATATTAAATGAATGCTGCTCAAATGGAAATATTTCTTCATTTCTAAAGGCATTTTATTTTACAATTGATGTAATTGCAAAAAAAGCTGTATAGAATCTCAGCTTAACAACATTAGACAAAACAGAAGTCCTGAGGTTTTTTTTTATTAACATTAAATTGTTTTCCTTGGCTAGCCTTACAGCCTAATTAAAACAGCCTATTGTAATACCAATTCTAGTACAAACCAATCAGCTAGAAAGAAACCAATGCCAATAATTTGATATCACATTCTATCAAATTGAATTTTTAGTATATCTTAGTATCACCATCATTTTCTTATGCTCAACAGTACCTGATTCTCACATCCTACCTGGACAAGTTTCCTTGGCAAAGTTTTTCAAAAGGGGTATGCCCTTGCCTCCTTCTTAGGGCTGAGAAAAACTGTCTGGCCTAAGGTCACCCGGCTGGCTTTGTCCCTAAGGTGGAACTATGACTCACAGTCTCTCAGTTTCTAGCCTGATGGCTTTGCCTCTGCACCAAATGTTTATTATCAATTTTAATAAATGTTTTAACAGTTTTAACTAATGTTTTTGATATTTTATTTGTACACCACTCTGAGTCCCTCTGCATGAAAGTTGGGTGGTTTCTAAAATACATACATATATACATAATCTCAAGAGTAAAATTACATATTAAATTACATCTACTTCTACAACACATATATCACCAAATTTGGATTTGTCTGTCCAAATTGTCTGATGAGATTAGGGTGTTCAGTTTTATATTCCACAATAGTCCATGCTTATATGGCATAATAACAGAACCTCAGAACATTCTCATCCATAGTTTCTAAGGGTTTCATTCAAAATTGTGAATACTGGTTCCATGAGCCCCATTTTGTTCAATTTAATTTCTGGTAGTGACACATTTTCTGAAGCTTTCCTCTAGATCAGGGGTGTCAAACTGCCGGCCCATGGGCCAGACCCGTCATGCGGAAGCCGTGCCCACCCCATTGCCGGCAATGGCAAAACTCTCCCGATACGTTGCACGACATCACATGACGTCACAAGTTTGACATGTCTGCTTTAGATTTAGAAACTATTTTTTTCCTGGGATTATCAAAGCAGCAGCAATAGATATAAAATCAAAAGTAAAAACAAAACATGCCCTGGCTCTCCACATGGAAGTGAATATGGACACTAGAGATCTCAAATATGACACTAATGTAGTAATTATATTAGAGCTGCACCTGATGGGAATAATACACATTAAAAAAAATCAAGCTTATACTGGCAAGTTCAAAGCAGAGATGCATTTGAAATCAGTGGTAGATCTATTGAGACCTTTTACTCCATTTAAGAGAACAAACAAAATGGAAAAACTCCCATGAAATAAAGCTTGATTGCTAGGGCCTACACAGATAACACATCCATGTAGTTTTCTTAGCAGCAGCATGGAAATTGTTTGGCATGTGGCCTTTCTGGATATTTTGTTTCCTTCAAGACTAGTTTGCAGCAGAGATTTCCTACAGTCCTCCTATCCAAATTCTAGCTAGGTATGACTTTGCTTGGTGTTTTTTTATTAATCAACCAAGGATATCTAGGTGTTGCTCCCTCAGCATCTGAGGTGAACAATCCCATGGTAAATCCTTCCTACCACAGAGTAAGACTTCCTGAATGCAATGAGATGGACAAATAAACCTGATAGAATTGTACTATTTAACTGTTAAGCATAAATCTTAAATTCACAATCATTTAATCAAAATTCATTTAACCAATATGCTTAATTAAGCCATATCTAACTTGAAGTTCATGAGTTTTTTTGAGCAAAAGTTCCCACAAGTCTAGACTTGTTGAGAGAAGAATAAATCACTGTGTTAAGAGAAGAATAAATTAATTTATATGAAAATTAATTTAATATAGCTATAAAATGTGATTAAACCATACATAAAGCAATATAATAGTATACATGTAGATATTTAACAGATAATTTGTATATGTTATATGCTGTGTTATAGATCAAACATTTTAAAAGAATAATCATAAATCATTCTTACCTTTACAATAATGGGACCATTCTGAGACATGTTAATATGAACTATTCTCTTTTCATCTTTGATTTGTTCAATCTCTTTGCTACTGTCTCTGAATTTTGAAAGATAATTCAGCTTTGCTTCTTGTAGTAATTTGCTTTTCAATTCTGGTAAGAATCTGATATGAAAAAGAACATTATTTACATCACAGTGACAATTTCAAATATAAACTTGTCCAATTGTTTGATTCCCTACAACTGTTTTGTTCTCCCTGCTTTCCCAACCACCTACTTCTTCCTAGAAAGCAAACTACTGTATATGCAATAAAGTAAGCATAATTCATAGAAAAATTAATGCAACAGACAGTTCACATAACTCTTCAGTATTCAGCTTCAGTTACTGCCATATATCTACACTCTATATTAAGCAAATATACTGTACAAAGCACACAAATGACAACACATGTTCTGTATATCATAGATTTGACCTCGTTGGAAAAGACTTTAAAAAGAATTTGCTGCTGCACTCTATGTTCCATGTTAAATATTTACATTCAGTACAAAATATATTCTAACTTTCCAATTCTCTTTCAGTCTTGAGAAATATGCACTGTTCTATGTGTTGTGTTTAAAAATCAGGATTCTTTCAAAATAGCAAAACTATTTTAAAATTTGAAAAACAGAACAAATACTTAGACAGACTTGCAACAAATTCACTATTTATTCAGTCTTTTTATCTAATACTTAAGATTATTATGTCATCCATGAATACGCTCCAAACTATAAGGGTCTGCAAAAAAAGAAGTTTACACTTGCTTGTGCTTTAAACTTTCCTTTTTCTCATTGTAGCCATTCAAGCTAATTACTAAAATTGTATCCAAAACTATAACGATATATGCATTGATAAGCAAGATTGGGTGACAAGATAGGCAAGGCTGGTAAACTTTCTAATATAGTTACATAACCCATCTTCTGCACAAAGGCAATAAAACCTGATTCCATTATTCTCAGCCTTTCTATTGAAAAGATATTGCCTTTCTCTCATCCCTAGTTTGCTTATATTATGAGCCATTTGTTGAAACTGAGAATATCTCATTCATTCATCCTTTTTCTTTCTCAGAAGATGAATCAAGTTTCTAACAACATACATTCTTATAATAAAAAATACCTGTCTAGTGATGGGAGATTCTCTTGTATAGATTACGTTTTTCACCATTCCAAGATATCTATCTGTAAGACTCACAGGGTTTTTTCAACATTTGTGTTCACTTTTTTTGACACCTGAGCCCAATTAGTTCAATATCAGATATGCAAAAACACAGCTCTCAAGAACCAGTAACCTGGGTCCTGAGATCTGGGTTCAAAAAATGAGGTTTTTCTTCCTTTTCCATAGGACTAATTCCTCCTATGGGAATTAATCTCTTCCTTTTCCTTGTATATTTTTTAGTTTCTAAATGCAAACCACTGTCTTTAGAAAAGGTTTCCCTGTCAAAGGGTATAATTTTCAAATTTGAGCTCTGAACCCCATCACTTTACATCCTGGAAGCATGAGAGTTAGATCAAAGAAGAATAAGATAACTTCACCACCTTTTTCTTTCTCCCAGGCTACTTCCCAGAGAGTTGGCTAGTTACGAAGTTTTGAGAAAAAATTATTAAATTTCATAAAGTAATACCCTCATGTTCACGTTGTTCTGGCTATGATAAGGAGAATTCTTCAGTTACCATCATTCGCATTACTGTCTCTGGCCCACCTTTCACATAGTCTTTTGCCCCCCAGATTTGTTTCGACTGAAAAAGCCAGAATTCCCAGGCAAAGTTACACCGTATAGAAATTTTAAAAGTACTAAGCACCGAGAAATCTGGAAGGTATTAGTTAGGGAGGGATGTTTTGATCTATAGATACTGGGACATTGAATAGCAGCAATCACACAGTAATTGCATTTCATATTGCTCTGCTTTATATCTAAAACATTTCAAGAAAATAAGGTTTTCAAGAAATCAGATGTTACGCATAAAAAAATATAACGTCTCAGCAACGTAAGCAGTATTAAGTGGAGACTTGGCTCTTTCTAATCAATAAATTAACAGCAATTTTACATCTGTCATATAAAAAGCCAACCATCTCGAAAAGCTCTTTGAGTAAATGCTGAATGTTATATCCAAATAGCTTACTTTTCAACAAAACCATCTCTGGTGAAATATTCATGCTGTAGCAAATCAGCAGATGATATCCTGTCTGCAGGATCCATTTGTAAACAAGCCTAGTAAATAAAAATTGTTATGTTAGAAATAATATATTATAGAAGAATGTTGTGTAATAAAATTTATATTATATTTTTTCTATTATTTAAAAAAGTAAAGGTAATTGTTTTTAGTTTCAATAATGAGTATCTTTCTTTATTGGCAGAAAAATGTAGCTCAATTTTTCACTACAAAAATTCTTATATTAGCACACTGATATGAATACGGCTCAGTCCTTTTAAGACAAATTCTGTCTTGCTTGAGACAGAAAATAGCTATCCTTCTCATCATTTTGAAAGGATTTCTAAGAGCGCTTCAGGAACACAGGCCTATTTTATAGCATAAGAAATGCAAATTGCTGATAATTTATTGTCTAGAATCCTACCTAAAGGAAATACACTTTTCATCTATAAAACAATTAATGTTTTTAAGAAAATAAAAATTACAAATATAAAGAAAGGACAGCAAATGTTAACAAAAACAGAACCATCTCAATACCTCCCAAGTTCCCTAGGGCCCCCACTCCTGATACAGGTTTTGAGGACTTCCAGAAAATCATCAGAGATAGAATCAGCCTCATGTCAGGGTCCATAATATGGGTGCCATGGCAGAGAAGGCTCATCTGCTGAGACCTGCCAAGTATAAGTCCCTAGCGTACAAGACTTGTAGCGTACCTCTTCTGATTGAATTACCAGATATAGTATATATATTTTTTCAAATTTTATTTATAATACAATTAAAAACAAACATTGGATTTGACATGACATTCCAGTATATATATTCTTCTCAGATTATTCTACTGTTTACAATCAATTCTTCATCTCTACATATACATCTAAGTTTTATATACAATACTTATTCTAAAATAACATATATTTCTATCTTAACATTCGTCTTTAATCCCTACTGTCCTCTTCAAATTCCTCCAGCGGTAAAATTTATCCCAGGTTTCATAATAAACTGATCCACATTTATCTTTTAATATCATTTCCATTTCCGCACATGCTAATATTTTATGTATTAACTCTTCCTCTGTGGGAATTTCCTTGCTCTTCCATTTTTGCGCTAAAGCAAGCCTAGCTGCAGTCAGGATGTGTAGCAGCAGGTAAATTGTTCCCTTGTCATATTTTTCTGTCGTTATTCCCAACAAAAAGAGTTCAGGTTTTAACTCTAAGTCCAGTGTTAATATATCCCTCAACCAGTTTTGTGTCCTGTTCCAATACTCACGGATCTTTGGGCATTCCCACCACATATGGTAGTATGAATCTAATGCTGTTTTACATTTCCAGCATAGGGGTGAAATGTTTGAACCCATTTTGGCTAACCTTATGGGTGGGAAATACCATCTATAGAACATCTTGTAAAGATTTTCCTTATATGAGGTAGCTAAAGTGAGTTTCCTATTCTTTTCCCACAGTTCTTGCCAAATATGTAGGTCGATACTAAAACCAAAATCCCTACTCCAAATTAACATGATCTCCTTAACCTGTTCTTCATACATTGTCTGATCTAAAAGAAAATGATATATATTTTTAAATCATTTTATCCTCGGGACCTAATAAAATTTTATCTAGTTCTATCGGTTCTATCTTTATACCCCACTCTTTTTTATCTTGCCTATATCTTGCTTGTAGTTGGAGGTATGCCCACCATTCTAATTCTATCGCTGCATCTTGGAGATTCTTCCTCGATTTTAATTCTCCTCTCTCGTCAGATATAGTATAGTTGAAGAGAGGCAGTCCCTCAAATAACTAGACTGGAGGATTTTAAAGGTAGAAAACAGTACCTTGAATTGGACCCAGAAGCAAACTGGTAATCAATGCAACCCAGGGAAGTGTTGTTCTAAAGGCACACATAACTGCCCTGCTGCTTCATTTTGTACCAACTGAAGCTTTCAGATACTCTTCAAGGACAGCCCCATGTAGAACATGTTAGATAATTCCAGTCAGAAGATGACCAAGGAATAAGTGACAATAAATAGAGCCCCTGATCTAGGAACAGGTGCAAAACAAAGATGTGCAAAGGCCCTTCTAGATATAACTGCCATCTACTCTTTGAGCAGGAATCATGAGTCCAGAAGGACCTCCCCATCCAGACCTTCACAGCCTCCAGGCACCAAGATGTCTGTGGTACTGCTTAAATCACCAGGGGCAAAGATGTGTCATTAGTGTATTGATGATACCTCACCTAATAGCAATGGATGAGCTCCCCCAGTGGCCTCGTGAGATACCGAATAGGAGAAGAGAGAGCACCAAACCCTGGGTCCCATACAGTAGCTTCCAAGGGTAAGATTCCCCTCAATGACACTGACAGGAATTGACTCTGAAGAAAGGAGATGAACCAGTACAACACAGTGTCACCCGCCTAATTTTTAATAAGAAGGTTGACAGGGTTTTTAAGTCTCATATTTTAAGAACTTCTTTACTTTGGGTTTGGAAGAAATATTATAGAAGTGATTCAAGAATTCCATTATGGGCTATCCCATGGCATGTGATAGAAGGGATAAGGAGAGGAGTTAAGATGGATAGTATTTCTTATATACAATTACTTAGATGGGATGGTAAAAATTGGCAATTAAAATCCATGGAGGATTTAACACAAGAAGATATTATTTTTTCATGGTTTCAGTATAGACAATTATTGGAAAGGTGGAAGATAGATTGTAAGGTGGGTTTGCTTAGAGAGGATGAGAATTTGTTAAAACAAATAAAAGATCAAAGACGAACCCATATCAAAAGAATTTATGGGGTGTTAGTGGAACTGGATTCAGAAGCAGAACTAGTTAAAGATTGTATGGTTAAATGGGCACAAAACTTTAATGAATCGGTTCCATTAGATACTTGGGAGATTATTTGGGTGAGGAATGTTAAATTTACACAAGCCCAAAACTTACGGGAAAACTTTTATAAAATGTTTTACAGATGGCACCTTGATCCACAAAAAATGTCTCGTATGTATTCAAACTTGCAGCCTAAATGTTGGAAATGTGGTTGTTTGGATGCTACTTATTATCATATTTGGTGGTTATGCAAAAATATAAAAGCTTTTTGGATTAAGATATGGTGGAATATTCAAAGAATTTTTAAAAGAAGGATAAAATTTACTCCACAATTGTTTTTGTTGGGTATTGTTTCCGACTGTGACAGTAAAGAAACTATATTAATGTTAAATCTAATTATAGCGGCTAGGTTGTTAGTAGGGCAATGTTGGAAGAAGGAATCTTTGTCTACTTTGCAAGAATGGTTTCTTAAAGTTTCCTATTTAGCAGAAATGGCAAAGATTTCGGCTTTTTTGAAAGATCAATTGCAAGAGAAGTACCTTTTGGTATGGAAAAGATGGATAAATTTTATACAAGTATGATATAAAAAATATTATTTAGCTTTTGAATAATTTATATTTAAAGTTTAAGATCTTTTTTCTTGTTGTTGTTGTTTCTTTTTTTCCTTTTTCTGTTTTTTAAGTATTGGGGTTAAAGTATTTTATGATTTGTTTAATTATTGTAACCAAATTTGTATATGGTTTATTTGTGTTTAAAATTTTCTCCTTTAAATTTTAATTAAGCCTGTATTCAGCTCTGGGAAGGCTGGGGGAGGGTTGGGGTGGGTTGGGAGGGTTGGGGGAAGGGAACTTTTTTGGGGGGGAAAATTTTAAAAAATTTCAATAAAAAAAAACCAAAAAAAAAACCACAGTGTCACCCACCCTCAATCCTCTCAGCTGATCCATAAGGATATCATGTATGATATCAAAGGCTGTAGACAATACTTTATTTTTTTCTGAGGAAATGCAGTTTTTTTCTCCTTCTTAGTACATTAGCTGATTCAAAAAGTGAATCAACTTTTCTGATAGTGCCAGTTATAAGTTCAAAGATCAAAAAGAATGATAACCTACCAGCTAGACTATTGATGATAACTTAGCAACTCTGTCTTTCTCAGCTAGAGGCCTGGGTTAGACCAAAAGTGTCACCATCCATATCCAGGGTAATGCTAGCCAAGGATTGTGAGTGCAAAACAAGAGTGCAAGGTTAGGAAAAGCCTACCTAATTTTTATTCTAGATCTAGAGCATTATTTATTGCAAACCTAGAAACAATAAGAAATGTGCAAGAAGGAATCTAAAACAAAGGGGCAAAATGGACATTATGCTGAATTTATAATTAGGAAACACATTTGCAATTTGTTTTTATGCATAGTCAGTGTTAATTAGGAGGGCTACAGCAGTTGAGCTTTCTTTTCCCAATTATAATAGGGCATTTATGCCCTTAGTCGCTCTGAATGGTTCCCACTACCACCATCACAGAACAGAAAAAAAATTGCCTGCTCCTATGTTAAGGCAGACTATGAAGAAACCCGTCTCATTCTCAATAGCATTTTTCCGCTCAAGGCACTAACTTTGCCACTATGAACCTGACATCACTGGATTTTCTAAAATGCTGAGACCAGCATGGTTCCCTTCATTCCCAGAAAATAAATAGTCTATTCATATTATCAGGTCCTGTCTGAATAGGCAGAACTATCCAGTCAAGATGAAAATGAAGAAAAGTATAATTTCCACAACCTGGGGCTGATTAGGTATCTTGAATTTGAACTTCTATAAACCCCAGTTAGCAAAGAAAGCTCTTCTGTGAAAAAACAACACTCACAAAAACTACTTGGCCCTTTTAAAAAATAAATAAGAGTATTATTTGTCTATGGAGATTCTCAGTCATCAAGTCATAGTAATCCAGATACCTTTTCACAAGGCAACTGGACTTTCTTGTTTTTCTTTGAAGACTGAAACTTCTTCAGCTCTGACTGAATGGTGGGGAATGGAAAGATTTATACTCCTCAAACAGCTGTTCATTTGCATTGTTTTAGAGAATCCTTAATGCTACCTGGAGGCTTATCTGTGTCTTCAGGGTCACCTGAGTAGTGCAAATGGGTGTGAAGCCTTCTTGGAATTGTTGAAAGGACTGTGTTGTAGACTGGAGATAGATGATGTTGTATCCCTCCCCCTCTGTATGGCACAACATAGGAGAACAAACCC